TTTCAATAATTGTTTCAAATTGAATATATTTGATTAATATTATACTTTACTATATCAACTACTAATGAAATAATTAAGATATTACTGTATGTTTTTGTTTACTCTTTCGAGGATAATAACCCCATTTTCCTATGGCAAATATTGTGTAGGCAAAATAACTGTTTTGGATATTGCATGTAGGCACAATTACACTTCGGGAATATGTTCGTACGCAAATTAGTGCATAGCAAAACATGACTGTTTTTTGTTTACATTTTCACGTCAAAATGATATCAAGCTAGAGACGTTATATAGCCTGTTTACATCTTGGAAAAATATAGTGGCCGCTTAGAAAAAATCCTCATTGTCGGATCTGGACATTGAAAACATCATGAGTCACAAAGATTCAAAGACTTTAAACAAGCTACTAAAGTTGCTTTAATATGCTTGCATAAGTATGCAATACATACAGATCTATGGGAACCATGAATAATCTTCATTTTTCTAGTTACCGTCTAGAGGACCTTTATTTCAAAATTTATTTTTATATTCATTGAAGAAAATATAATTTTTAATGATTAAATCACCATGAAAGAAACATGGTTAAGATAAACATTTCAAAGAGTTTTTTTTTATATCGGGATTGATCGTTTCACTTGAAAAATGACAAAAATATTTTGCAAAGTAGACAAAATTACAAACATACTTTTGCATGCCATGTTCCTACCTTCTGCATTTTGAAACTCTTTGGCATATTTAATAAAAACAAAATCAGTGTTTATGTTCATGTAAATATATTAGTATCCAGCCTTTTGTACGGGTAAGCTAGTTTATCACTTTATCATTTCAGTGTATGAAAGACAAATAGCATAGATATGAAATATAAAATGCACAAAATTGAATTAAACAAAAGACTAGCCGCATGATTACAAATAATAAATGATTTAATTAAATACCGTGTTCAAGCAAAACGTTTCCGTTTAGTGCATTCGCGTGTCAGAAATCAGAAAAAAATATTTGCAAACCTTCAATTGTGGGTTTGACTTTGAAAAAATTAATAGCCACGCAAATACATATGAGGCGGTTTAGATACTCATGAAGATTATTTCACGTGTACCAAAATAATTTGTTTACTTGGTGTTTCTACTTAAGACATAGCTTTTCACACGTTTTAGTGTGCATGTAATTGTTAACAGTTATTCATTGTCTTTATTACAAAAGCAATATCACGTGTCTTTTGATTTGCGTCTAATATTGTTTACAACACAATTTAGGTTGTAACCTTTTAATGATAAAAATAAATTGTACAGTATCTTACCTTTCTAGAAAATTCCAAAGATTTCAACGGCTAGTGCGACTGTTAATGCAGCTAAATACCAAATATACTAAAATAAAACCACGCAGTCTCCTTTCTATTGTACTAACAAGAAACCAATGCAAGCTCATCCATAATGGTTTATAAATTGTTACAGCTATTGCGTTTTACTATGATATACCGTATCTTAAAAAGTTATGTAAAAGTTCGAATTGCTCATTCTGCCAGTTTTTTTTATCAGCACCTGATTTCAAGTGTTTCTATGCTAAGTACCATCCCTATATATAAGTGGGCTGAACATTGTCTGCATTAATATTAATGGGTTGGGGGGCACTTTCTAGTCGCACTTCTGTACCCATTTTTAACCGAAAACCGAAATAATCCCTTCACCCTTTTCATGTTGAAATGCTGCGGTTCCCCCGGAAGGAAAAGTTCTTGACGTGTAAAAATCTCTTGTAAATTGCTGAGGCTGTTTAGGGAATGTGTATCACAAAGTGTTTCAGTGTAAGGTCAATCCGCATCTGATTGCAGGTGTTTTCGTGCTCAGAATCACCCAATATATGAGTAGGCTGAACATTTTATCCATTAATATATGAATGGGGTGTCACATTCCAGTCCCACTTATGTACCTATTTTAACCGAAAAACGAAGTAGTCCCCCACCCTTTTAGGTATACTTTTTGCTGAGCAGACCATAATACTTGCAGACAAAGCGGAAACGATGACGACACGTAAATGTTTGCTAGTTTACCCCAAAGTATATCGCAACATGCTTCGCTCCGCAGAACAATATTTTATGCAGCCCACCCTAACATTAAATCCTGGATTCGCACCTGATTTCTGGTGTTTCCGTGCTCAGAATCACCTTCATATATGTGTTGGCTGAACATTTTACGCATTAATATATGAACGGGGATAGGTCACATTCTAGCCGCACTTCGGTACCCGATTTTTACCGGTAAACATTAATATATGAATGGGGGTGGGTCACATTCCAGCCGCAGTTTGGTTCCCATTTTTAACGGAAAACTGAAGTAATCCCCCAACCTTTACATGTTAAATTGGTGCGTTTCCCCGGAAGGAAAAGCTCTTGACGTGTAAAAATATGTTGTTAAATTGCTGAGAGCGTCAAGGGAATGTGTAACATCAAGTGTTTCAGTGTAAGGTCAATATTTACCGTTTCTGCTACGAAACAAAATTTAATTGTGCCGGACAGACGTGCAACGACGGAAATGATGACGGCACGTAAATTTCAGAGCCGAACGTCACGCTTTTTTTCCGATTGTAACCCCTAAATACCCCTCATAAGATCTTGAAATGAACACATAATAAACTTCGCTGGTCATTACTCCTTTGTGGTATAACACAATATTCGTGGATTGTATGTAAAAGAAGAAAACGCGACACCCAATTTCAACTCTATTCATTTAGCAATATAGATGATCATGATAATATACTTGTATCATGCAAGACCTCCTGATTTACAAAATTACTGATTTATCATGGGGCTAAATACATGGTTATAAAAAATGCAAACATGGTCAGATTTTGGTTGATGGGATCACATATAAGTGTTAAAAATGCAAGCCGGAAGCAACAAAACTACTGATTTTTTGTGACAAGTCAATATTTTCAATAAACAAAGGACATACTGGCACCTTAAATTGATACAGACAACATTTTGTATATAAATTTTCATGATGAAGTACAAACATGGTCAGATTTAGGTTAATGCGGTGACATATTGTTTTTATACGAGACAGCTTGAAATATTAAACTGCTGACTTTTTGTGATGCGTCAAAATATTGAATAACAAGGGACATTCCGGCACTCTGGATTGATGTTGACAAAATTTGGTAGTCATTGTGTTTGAATATTGCTGTCATTTGAATTTAAAAAAACCTGCCCCGACATTAATAGAAACTGTCAATGCTAAATTTCAAAACAGATCCAAACTTCTGAAGTTAAGTTAACTTTGAATGTTATCGAAATTTGTGGGTCACTTTCAGGCCTAAATGTTTATCGAAAAAAACAGAGGGAATATGGCTCGGTAATTTAAATTCTTACAACGATAAAGTTAAAACAAATAAGTGGACACAAGAACTGATAAAGGTTTGGGAATATTCTTTGGACTTAATAAAAAGGATTGTAAAACATTAACATTTGTATTCAATTTGGTAAATACTTTATGCTTAGTTTATGTATTTTATTTGGATGCTGTGCTATGATGGTTATCCCAAAATGTTATTTATCATAATATTGTAATTTCTAATAAATTAGACAGTTGAGTTTTATAATAGTACGGATAAAAAAACGCACAATTACGGAAATATTTCTAACGATTTAAAGCTTAGGTTTACATTGGTGGCCTTCGGCATTTATCTAGTCTTTGGTCAGGTTGTTGTATCTTTGACATATTCCGCATGTCCATTCTGAATTTTACTTCAAATTTCAATACACTGATATTCATGTCAAAACAATTATTCTATGTCAATAAAACAAAGTACACAAGCATAACAAATTAACGGAAACCATCTGAGTGTAAACCCTAATGCCATTACATCGTACTGAAAATGAATGTAATTGATATGCAAAACACTGCCTATAATACAACAATCTGCAAATTATCAATAAGCTATTGTAAGTCATAGAGTATTTACTAGCCAATCAAACGCCAAATTATAAATTAAACAAACAAAAATAAAATATAACGAAAATCCCACATTCTGCAATTACAAAGTAAAAATTCAGTTGGTTGTAACGATTGATGATGTATGATGTTTTCCTACCGTTTGCAGAAATACTAAAAAAAACATTTTTTCCTATTTGAAACGCTGATATCACATTGAACAAAGAACTAGTTATGACTGAATTTAAGATAGGACAGTAAGGACAGTCGAAATAAATTTTTTCAACCGGTTCTTCTATACAACGCCTCAAGCAATATATAATTTCAATAAACGCAGATAGGGGCAAAGTAGATATCTAATGTTCAAAATATCACAAACTGATTAGAAAGACAAGCTTATTTAAGAAACAAAACATGAACTTCAGATAGAGCGAACCGATCATGTGGTAGTGTCACCATATAATAACACTGCACTTGCCATGTATATCCACACTCAATTACAATGTGGGTCAACATATATTTGAGAAGACGATACCATCTGTAAATTGACAAATCAGACGACTATCTGTTTAAGAGAACTAGGTTGGTACAATCATGTCACTTGTAAGTTAATACACAGACAATTTGTATGGTCAATCAATTCGTGATAGTGAGTGTAATATCTACCTAGCTACGAGTTCAGCCTTTCTAAATAACAGCTTTTGCAGCAAATGTTGTATACAAAAACCAGTATTGTGTATGCAATCCATAAAGTGTGAACATCAACGAGCGTAATGTTTCAAAGGAGATTTATATCTGTTGCGAAATTTGAAATTTAAATGAGAATTACGTGAGTCATATATTTAAGTCTGAAGTCGTCTATTGTATCAATACGAGGAAAATGTCAAGACATGAGGCAGCCATTCATTCTCGATAGTACTATTAGAAAAAAATGTCAAATTTAGTACGATATATGTTCATGTTAACCATAGAGACTACATGTGTACCTATGGCATAAAAACAAATTGCATATTCTATTATATTTGACGTTTAATCCCTTAGCGTGTGTTATCCTGTTCATGGACATAACGTATTTACCTTTTGGAAAGTTTTGTCATTGTTGTCTTCAAAATGCAGATGTGATCTATGTATTGATAACTTCTCTGTAAACTCGTCTAGCACTTCCTTGATACTGTCCGGAATATCTTAAAAGATCAAAGTTAGTAAATATATAAAAAATTGCAATATTTAACCCCTTTTTATAGATTTTAAAAAGTGGATGTAAGCTTCAAATACATGATCGTTTTCTTATCTTTTCTTGTTTTGTTTTTAAACAGTTTCTTAAAGGTTTGAAATAAATACCAAGATTGAGTTTCGTTTACTTTTAATCAGAAGATAAAGATATGTGACAGTACACGTCTTTCTGACGATAATTTAAGAGAGGCAACTGATACGAAAAGGAGCATTTTAACTCATCAGTAAAAAAATAGACCGACAAAGCAATGAAAAATTCCTTCCTTTCGTTTTTCTTTCATTTTTTTTTCAATATTTTCCCGTATTACAAAACAAAGTCAGTAAATAATAATATATAGAACCTTCTTCCTGCCACTCCATTACTTTTCTCCAAAGGACCTCAATTTCCTTAGCAGTAATTGTTATGTCACCTTTTCCATCTCTGTAATAAAAAATTCGAATGCAGATTTTAGACATGTTAGAACCAGCTAAAACTGAAAATGTTTATTTACTTTTTATCTTAAAATTTGACGACAAGGCTCCACAATAAATCCCGAATATGTTTCATGTTTGTTTTATTTTCAAGAAGACGATTCGAAATCAAATCACCAATGGATGTAGTGGTGATGAAATCCCCAAATCAGACCTAATACATACTTGGTTTATATGTCAGTGTTGTGAACACTTTTTAGAAGTTTATACATATATTTCACAATTCTTACTACATCTATACTTGTCCTAACCTGTTGATTATTTCTATTTAATCAACGTGTGGTCCGTTGACAATAGGTCAACATTCAATTATGACATCTTATGTTCTTGCTTTCTGCTGATATTCCGTTGTGACGTCTTGCAACTAGATGCTCAAAGGAGCCTTTGTCGCTCACCTGATATTTTTTATTTACAATTGATCCACGAAATAATGCAACCGTTATACTTTTGCTTCAGAGATATAAGTCAAAAACTGCCCTTTTCTCTAAGTTCTATTTTTAACCATGCCAGTCATGTTAGTTGGCAGGCAAGGTCATCGGACACATTTGTTATAATAGATATCCTAATGTTGATTATGGCCAAGTTTGGTTAAATGTGTCTCAGTTGTTCAGGAGAAGACTTATAGAAACTATTACAAAAATTTACGAAAAATTGTTAAAAAATGAATATAAAGGGCAATAACTTCTTAAGGGGTAGATTTACTATTTTGATCAGGTTGACTTATTTGTAGATCTCACTTTGTTAATAGTTTATCTCTATCTATAATAATATTTAAGATATTAGCCAAAAACTGCAAAATATCCTTAAAATTACCAATTCAGGTGCAGCAACCCAACAACGGGTTGTCTGATTCATCTGACAATTTGAGGGCAGATAGATCTTAACCTGATGAACATTTTTGCTATAAATGCTTTAGTTTCAGAGATATAAGCCAAAAACTGCATTTTACCCCTATGCTCTATTTTTAGCAATGTTGGACATCTTGGTTGGCAAGCGGGATCATCAGAAGCATTTTTTGAAAAAGATACCCTAGTCATGATTGTGGTTAACTATGGTTAAATTTGTCCCAGTGGTTTCAGAGGAAAAGATTTTTGTAAACGTCAAGAGACGCCGACGACGACGGACGACAGACGACGGATGCCAAGTGATGAGAAAAGCTCACTTTGCGCTTCGGGCCAGGTCAGCTTAAAAGGCGACCATGCCAGATGACGTCACATAAAAAGAACTCATCTTTTTTTCTTCAGGATTATGATTGTCTGCATCTCTCTTCTTAAAATCTTTAGAGAAACAGATTTCATCTCCAAATTTCGTGCATTACGATATTTTTCACCCTCGACAGTAAAATTTTGAATATTAAAAACGCTTGGCAAGCCCTGCATTTGGAATTTAAAAAAATAGCTGTCTCTAATGGATTAATATCTTATGACACTAGATGCAGTGATAGGATATTTAATCACATACAACAATGTATTACTAAGCTAAACTGCAATCAATTCAATCTTCGTGCCTATTATACCATGTAATGTGTAACATGTCTAACATCCACTGATGAGGAAAAGTAACACTAGCGCTAGACACAGTGCAGGTGGTTTTGTCTTGATATCGCAAAAGCATGAGCTCGAACCTCGTCGATGTTAGTACACAGATTTGCTTTCGCAAATTTGCAGATTTAACATTGTTGTGTTGACATTTAAAGTATTCACTTACATTAAACTTGAATATAGACATACAGTCAGAGCTGACATTTGCAGTAACTATTTTGGTAGTTGCAGTTTGGTAAAATCCCTTTTTTTTGACGTTTATAAAATATGCAATCATAATTTCATAAGATATCAAAAAGGAATGCTGTATTCGGATAAACAATCCAAACCGAAAAAAATACAGCTCTTTTATTATGCGACGCCAGGAACCATATTTTACAACATAGTAACTTCATTAACTGTCTGCATAATCGACTGAAAGCGCTTTTAGTTTTAAACATGCAATTCTTTGTGTTTTTTGTCTTTATACCTTTTAAATATACTATTCAACAGAAGTAACAATACACAAGTTTGAACTAAAATGTATGATAAATAATGATAAAGAGGAAAAACTGTTAAGTTATCTAATGAAAAAACACTCAGTTGCACAGCAAATGCATATTATTAAAAGAATCTGACCAAATTGAAAAGTGAGAAAATACGGTGTTATTGAACACAAGGGTCAAATTAATTTTGCCGAAAATAATGACAAAAGTCGGTACTTAATTTCACAAAGATGAGAAAAAAGTATTAAAATACGCAAAGACGTTCAAAATACTACGCAGCCCTCATTTGAGTTCATAGTTTCAAATATTAATATCGATTTTTTTTTTTTTTGGGGTGAAATTACGACTTTTGAAATAACAAAAATTCAAAATAATAATTCGCGTATTTCCCTTAAATCAATGGTTTTGATAAGAAATAACACTTTGTAAATATTAGACCATTTGGGCAATTATTTGCTTTTGATACTAAGTTCAATATATATGGCAAAAATACTGTCTTGTATCGTTTCTTTTGTTAACAAGTATATATAAAGTATGAACTTTCGGTTATGCTCAGCCAAGTACAAGTTAACGATATGTGCAACAAAAACGTGTTGAAATAAAGCATTTTGATTTCATATGTGTAAAACCATTTTGGATGAGATAGTTTTTGAAACGTACAAGTTTTCCAAAATGGTAATGCATTTTCTGTAAAGATCAAGGTGGAAACGCACTTCATCAACATCTTCAATGTCTGACAATCGAACAATAATTTTCATAGTCTGTTTCTTTGCAAGATTGAGTTCACTTTCAAACCGTTGAATAGTTTCGGTCAGCGTTCGTTTCTACAACATAATTTGAAATTAAAGCATTCAATATAATATTTTAGCTTGACTTCTTTATAACATTAAAATTAATTCATGTATTTTTATACGTTTATTCTACAAGAATTACGTGTGGAAAAGAATCAAGTACAGTGTAGTAAATTATAACAAGTGTAAGTCCTAACTTGGGAAATAAGATAAAATTGGATTATAGCTTACATTTGTACCATTCCTCTGGTATGTAGTAAATGGTAATACATTATATATTTTCCGACAGTGAAAGGTTATTGTGTTATTCCGAAGTTCCATCAGAGCGAGGAAAATGACATTGTATATTCTATGTTACAGATTTTGAAAAATATTTGAAACAAATTTTTATTGTGAATGTCATCAAACTAGCTGGCTCCAAGTGTTGCTGTTGTTTGTAAAGCATACAACCCGTCATTGTGTTGTTGTCGTATATCCCTATTTTTTGACATTTTTACCTATTAAGTTTGTTTGTTTTTTTCACACATCGTTGTCAAGATAATGGATTACAAGTTAGAGGTTTATCTAGCTATAAAACCTGGTTTATTCTACAATTTTCTACATAACAAAAATGCCTGTACCAAGTCAGGAATATGACAGTTCGTTGTCCATACGTTTAATGTGTTATAACTTTTGATTTTGCCATTTGATATGGTACTTTCCGTTTTGAAGTTTCCTCGAAGTTCAGTACTTTTGTGATTTAACGTTTTATACTAACAAAGTAGTCCTATTATTTGGACAGTGTTTTGCTCTAGCATTTTCGGGTATTTGCATGTGCGCTTCTTCCATTGTATATTTTAGTCAGATAACTAGAAGGAATTAATTATTTAAAAACATGTTAATATTTAAACGGGTGATATTTAAATTACTAGTAACAAAGGAAACCAAGTAGCACAACACTTATTTTTTTTTTTTTTTTTGATGAAACGAAAAAAAAATTCAAGTGGATACGTTTGACATATAATGTACAGCAATATTCTAGTTCTAAATTATAATATGTGATGGTGTAACCTCATTTTGTGGAAGGAGAAGATGTTTTTATAAGTGTAGAGTATGTGGGGTCGATAAATTAAGAACCTGCCAAAGTCTTTAGTAAATGTTCCCAGGTTAACCTACCTCCTCTACCAGTTCTCTAATTCTTTCAGATTTTTTTGTCATATTCGAAGAGTGATGCTCCATAAGTACTTTGATGTCTCTGCTATGATTATCTATTTTGGTTTTGATATCTAATTCGTGCTGTTCTCTCATTGACTGCAGCATTGCTTCATATTTTGTCTGTTCAGACAAAATATCGCTAGCAGCGTCTTTACGTATCAAGTCAAGCTAGTAATATAGAACCAGAATACATGGTATAGAAAAGATAAATATATTTCATCTAGGAGATATTTTTCGATGTATTTTTTTTCTGAAACGTATAATGTAAATAATCATATTGTATGATGTTATTTGCTGCATACGATCACAGGCATACAATTTTGTAACAACAGTTCTGAAGCGTAATTTGTCTACATACGGATTATCAGTTGTACACACTTGAAAACAATTGAAAGTCCAATATAAAACAATATATTCAAATGGGTTGTTCCAAAAAGCATAACGTTCTACTGTAATTGTTGATAAAACCCGTAGTGTTTCGAGTAATTTAGCATATACAAACATATGTCAGTTTTTTCCTAAACAATTATGTATTGGCATTATTTATATTTTGGAACTATTAGTACCTCAAGATGGATGTTTTTGCAAATTGGTAGCCATAAAAGTCGATCTTACTTAATTGGTGTCGTCATCTACTAAAATTGCCACTTTTTGTGTCTTGTTCTTTAGTATCATATATTGGCATATTCTGAATATCTATAAAAGACGGAAGCGTAAAATTGTCGAATTTTAAGTCTAATTAGTCTAAAAAAGATTTTCAAATTGTAAAAAGAGCTCATAGACTGATCTTCAACATACGTGCTCGGTTTAAAAGTTGTGCGACAGTTTCCCGTGTTGTCTACATAAGGCTTATCAGTGACGCTCAAATCAAAACATATGTATTGAAGTTTTGTTTTTATTTGACGTAACAACATTACTATCGATAAATGTATCGGTTATTGCTATATTTACTTACCTCTTTGGTGAATTTTTCCGTGGATTGCTGAATAAATTGCTCATACTGAGCTCTCTCTGTTTTTTCAAATTTCGAAGTCTGCGAAAAAGAATCACATGTTTTTTTAGGTCCTACTCAACAAATTGAAACTACAACTTTTTTTGTTGAAAAAAAAACCTAAATTGATAACTTATATGTTTCTCTTATTTCAAGTGAGAAGTTCCCTTCAAAGTTGTCAGCCAATTTTATTTTATAATGTACATTAAAAAGACATATCCAGTTTAATAAAAAAAAACCTATTCCTGACATTATATGTGTGAAAGGTCTCCATTTCATAATACACCAGACCTGTTTCTTAAATTTTTTTAATGATCCGTTTCATCCGAAACCAACAGTTTCAATCATTGAAATAATAGTGTAAAAGAGCTCATCATATTGTTTTGAATTGTTGATAACCACTAACTGACGTATATATTTCTTGTATTTCGTTACGTTGTTGTGTTACTGAGCCATTGAAATAATCCCACATATACAATAGGTAATACGTTTACTGAATTTATAAAATGAAAACTTTGTTTTGAAAAAAAAACTGGAAGTGGAATAATAGATTATGAGCAATCCTACTACGAATGGCTCTGACAAGTGGTAGTGATATAGAATCATCTTAAAGATATCTTCTTTAACGCCAAAACTGTCTTGTTATGATCGTTTTCAGTATATGCTGTGCTATACCTTTATATGATGTGCACCTGTTATTATATGATGTGCAAATCCCTTTATATGATGTGCAAATATCATTATATTATGTGCAAGTATCATTATATGATGTCTAAACATCTTTCTATGATGTGGAAATATACTTACATGTTGTGAAAACATTTTTTAAGGATGTGCAAACATTTTTATATGATGTGCAAATATCCTTGTATGATGTGCAAATGTACTTATATGATATGCACATATACTTATATGATGTACAAATATACTTATATTATGTGCAAGTATCTTTATATGATATGCATTTTCCTTATATTTTGTACACACATCTTCATATGATGTGGTTGTGTCGTTATATTATGTGCATGTTACCTTATGTGATTGTGTTCGATTTACTTCATTATATGAAGCCAAAATCTCATTTTTGGATGTGCTTTTATGGTCGTCTTGGTAAATGAACATGATTACCATTAGACTGATTACTGTCTACGTCATAACTGATTCCGATCTGCTTCTGCGGAATTAATATAAACCTGATACAAATCGGTAGCTGTAGTTTGGAAAATGGTAGAGATTTGAAAAGATATAAACCTTGGTATGTTGGTACCTCTTTTTAAGATGAAACAAATCACATCAGCTATTGTTGGAAAATTGTCAAAATATCAATTGCAAAGTTTAGTTTTAATGGATAGATCTACAATAATGAACATACGGAGTCTACAATAATAACCATACGATGAAAGCTATGAACTTAAAGATGCTGTATGCTCACTTCAACAGGTGTAGGTATTATATTTGTTAATATCTTTATACCTAGCGTTAGCGTTTTTTCTATAAGAAGTTCAGATATGAATTATCAGTATGTTAATTTTTTTGTTAAATTTGCCTTGCTGATCATTTAGGCTGTTCAGGTTTCTCTTTTTATATTATTTTTCTCAAGATAGACACACAAATGGAAAGAAATCGGACATTGATAGGGTAATGAGTCATGTAATGAACCGGTCATTTCAAACCCCAAAAAACAGGGGGTAGGAAGAAATTAATGAAGCTTTTACGTTTTTTGAATAGAAAGGTGGTATTCAATTGTCCATAGTTAAAGATTTGCTGCCTTATAATGTTATGGCGATTTCTCTTGTGGAAGAAATTAATGGAGCTTTTTTTTAATTTTATTTTTGGAATAGAAAGGTGGTATTCAGTTGTTCATAGTTATGGATTTACCGCCGTATAATGTTATGGCGTTTCTCTTATGGTTGGGGGCCTGTTATCTATTTCTTGAATGAATAGAAATGTCTCGTATCACACTGCACGGAGTGTGACATGAAAAAGTGATACGAAAATCCGCGTTAATCTGATTGGTTTATCCAGCATCATAAGACGACATTACAACATTTCCATTGGCTACTCATTATGTCATTGCTGACTGTCAAAGGTTACGACGATGAATCTTTCGTCCATGACAATGGACATACATTATGTGCTTTCGTCAGTACTATACAAAACACTCACACTTTTCACATGGAAATCTTCTTTTTGTCAAATTTAATTACATTCTGAAGCATAAAAAAAGTCTTAAAATGTTTGATGTTAAAGTTTGACACCAGAAAAGGACATATGACGGCATACTGTATTGTGCAAAAGACTAGATTGACGATTCGCGGATTTTTTCATTAAACACAATGAGAGTGTTGACCATAAGACAAATGGGTTTAACAACTTAAGATATTAGATTACAAGCACATAATATAATGACACAACCACATCATATAACATGTATAAAGATGTTTGCACATGATATAAATATGTTTGCACATAATATAAGGCAAAATGCACACAATATAAGGGAAAATGCACATCATATAAGGATATTTGCACATCAAATAAGTATATGTGCACATCACATAATTTTAGATACATGGTGTGTCTAAATACCACATGTGAAGACAGTCGGTAAGATAAATTCGTTATACCTAATACGATATATATGGAGTCAGTAGATTACATATGGGATGAAAGCATATGGAATTAACTGACCCAATATATATCGTATTAGGTCACTAGCACACCATGTAACGAATTTATCTTACCGACTGTCTTCACATGTGGTATTTAGACTATCGGCCTATCAAAGTGATTAAGTTTTCAATACTTAGTTTTAACATGTTTAAGAAACAACTTCCATTTGTATATACACAAAACAAATGTCAACAATAACAATGTGTTAGCTTTAAGTTTATTTTATGAATGTATTTCATTCGTTCATTATCAGTTTCGTCGTCTGTTTAAACCTTTCAGATTCCTTTTTATGTTGTGAAAGGGAAGTAACTCAACATGGTAACTTACCATGTATTTTTTAGGGCACCCTATACCAAATATATATAGTCACCATGTGTAGTCCGTTAACCAATCATATCCCCATAAATCTATTGGAGGTACATTTGCACATCATATAAGGATATTTGCACATCATATAAGAACGTTTGCACATCATATAAGAATGTGTGCACATCATATAAGAACATTTACACATCATATAAGTATATAAACACATCATGTAAGTATATATGCACATCATATTAGTATGTTTGCACATCATATAAGGATATCTGTACATCATATAAAGGTGTTTTCACATCATATAATGCCAAGTGCATATCATATAAAGGTAAATTCACATCATAAACTGAAAATGGGCATACCAAGACAGTTTTGGCGTTCCATACTATCCAGTAAAATTATGTTCATATCTTTCAGTAATAATAGTGGAAATGATACAGGTATTTTCTAAACTTAAAGTATTTCAGAAGGTTAAACCTATGAACGGAAACAGCTGGAATGTCTTGTAAACAAAATATCGAGTTACGGTCACTGCGTCTATGTTCATTTTCTTAAAAGGCTGATTTCAAAACTATCATATATCGTATTATTTTACAGATTTAAACAATACAACAGTTTCGTCAAAACCTTATTCTAACTGTAAGAAAACGGATACTTACAAATGTTATAACCACATTCCAGACCTCTTTTCCCCAGAATATGAACTACCGAATGAGACTGATTATGCTGCTCAGTCTTTAGTTTTTCTATCTATTGTTATCTGTTTGTTATTACGCGTTATATGTTTAAAAGTCCCTTTAGTTTTTTTTTGCCTCTCTCTAACCACTGTATAAAGGTGAATCATGAGAATAACAATGTGTACATTGCAATGCTAATAGTATGTAGTTCAACTTGAAATAATACTTTGAATAACTTTAACGAGTAGTTAAAAGTTAATCTCATAATTAGTAGATACAATGAATACATTTCGTTGTTCAATTATTTTTTATCAATATATAAGGCAACAACCGTAGGAATTGTATAATTGCTAATCAAATACATTGTTCGTAGTAATCATGGTAATTTATGAGAATTTCCCCCCAATTCTTTGTAAATCAGGACCAATAACTTCTTTTCCTGCTCGGAATTATAGCCTTCTCTTTACAAAGATGATTGAATACTGCTATCTGTATATGTGTTTCTTTTTTTGGTATGGCAACCTATTCATTTTTCATATTGGTTTTCATTGGGCTATTCGAAATCTGCATGCAGGTAAATATAATTTAAGTAAATGCAGAAATTTGGGGACACTTTGCAATAACAAATATTTAAATTTCAACAGTAACTAGAGCCACATTCGTTTTTTTTTATCCGAAATGATTGAGTCGGTTGATAGGTGAACGAAAAAAAAATGAATTGAATGAGTAAAATTGTGATTCTAAATGTTTTCAATATTGTTTAATCTACTGTTACCATGCAACTCAGAAACATGTCAGTGTATGTTGGTTGTATTCAGTTTATCTATTTGTTAACTCAAAATTTTCCGTTAACCTCTTAAAATTATTTATATCCTTAAACTTTAATTCTATAAAGACGCGGTAAAACTGTTTAATAAAAATTATAAAGCAGATCTTATGACATATATCTTTCGTGTATAAATAGAGAACAACCGTTTTTATTAAATACTTAGCATATAAATACGAAAGTTCAAGTGTTTCTTGGAAGAAACAAATTGCTTGTATAAAATTTCCAAAGTGTACTAGTATGTTTAGTCAGCAATTTCGAAATATGAAGTTGCATTTTCCGAAAATGTGCAAAACCTCAATTGTATACTATAAAAACAATTTACCTATATGTATCATATCGTACAGTGACGGTTGCTTGTCAATTTGTATTAGGGCCTTTCTTTACTCTGAATAAAAACATCATTGAGATCCCAGTCTTTTGCTTTTTGATGGGTATTAGTTAGATGTCAATTAATTACCAACCCCACAAGGGTTTACACCTCAATATGAAAATCATTACCTTCTCAAATAGATTCAAATAGAAATATATTCTAATAAAATCACAGAGTGGATGTGAAACGGTATTAACACATCCCAAAACTAAATGAGATAGGGAAACGACAGTTCTATTTAATTAAGATTATAATCTGCTATTGAAAGGTCACAATTTCCTCTTTTTACACTAGTTTTAACAAGCGACGAAAGAGAATCTTAATTAATCTGACGACTCTGCTTCCAAATATTTTCAATAGATGGCAATACAGTTTTGTTTGTCCTGTTTTCAAAACGTTTGTAACATCTTGACCTTAAACGATGTCATGGTAATTACATTGCAGTAGTGATCACATCTTAACTTCGACGTTTCAGTTTGAAATTGTAGATTTGTTTTCTTTTTTGACGTGCGATTTTACTGACGTATGATAAAAAAAAAACTTTTAATGTTGTAGATGGTTAAGATTTATAAGTGAATCTATGTTATCAAAATAGAGAGCATAAATTTTGAATAATAGAATCAATGGATTTAAATTAAAAAAAAATGCTTTTTATTATCTTCAAGATTGTCAATACAAGGCTTTGACTTCTTTATCTCTATTTTATTTTTGTTGCCTACTTTGGTTTCCTCAGTATTTACCTCTTCTTGAAATATTTCCACCAAGCTCGCCGTTGCTTTTTTTATCCTAGAACGAAATGTGTCTTGTAGACTTGATATTGCTCTGCAAATGTCTCCCACTGATACAGAAATAAGCTGTTCTTTAGTAAATTCTTGTTGAACTGCTTGTAGCCGCTAGACATACAATAAAAAAATGATCACATATCATTACATGTATATAACGTATTCCTTGCCCTCTATAAATACATTTTCGGATTATACACAAATGAATGTACAATGCAAACATACCTTATATCTTACATGTTTTCATTATTAATATAATGTGTTATTCATATTATGTTGATCTAAACTATATGGCGATTTTCCATTACAACTACCTTGATATAACACTGACGGGCTTGTGTACGAGTTTATTGTATGTGTTGTGCTCTATTAGGGGTTGAATCCTAGATATACTAATAACGCACATGCTTGTATTTGACTAATCGAATATTTCGACTGGGTTGAGGATCCTTGTGAACGAGACAATCTTAGGCAAGAGCCAAAGCACAGTTTTTCCATGACAATATTGGGAAATATACAATTTAACTAATCCACGTGCATCATGATTTATATTTAAAGATTGATGTGATTTTAGTTATGTTTGCACGCAGGTATCTACGAAAAACGTAAATGAAATCAGTTTTATAAGTCATGTATATAACAAAGGAAGATGTGGTATGATTGCCAAAGAGACAACTCTCCACCAGAGACCAAATGACACAGACATAACAGCTATAGGTCACCATACGGCCTTCAACAATGAGCAAAGCCCATACCGCATAGTCAGCTATAAAAGGCCCCGAAATCACAAATGTAAAACAATTCCCACGAGAAAACTAACGATCTAATTTATGTACAAAAAATGAACAGCAAAACTAATATGCCAAACAAATGAAAAAAAGACAAATATGTAATACAGCAACAAACAACAACCCCTGAACTACAGGCTCCTGACTTTGGACAGGCGCATACATAGAGAATGTGGCGGCGTTAAATATGTAAGCGATATCCCAACTCTCCCTTAACCGGAGAGAGTGTAGGTGTAACAATACAAGATCAGAACGAATTATACAAGTCAGTTGAAAAAAGGATTAACTCGTCAGATGGATACATATAGAAATACATCTAAGTGACGTTGCTGGGTACATCCCAACAACGTAAAGCCACTTTGTACAGATCTAAGAATACTCGCAGTCACTGTCAGTTTAATCAAAGCCAATAACAACGAATAAGGAAAATCATGCATCTAAGACTAAGTTATCAATCATTACACTTTCAACATTCAATTGGTTTAGTGTAAAGAAATTATTAGCAGTCAGATAAAAACATGACCTAGTGCAATGCCAAGATAAAAAATTTCTTCAATTATGACAATAGTTATAACATAACTATCACTGGAACAATATTGATTTTTGATAACAGTTTGTACGGTGATATCGTGACCTCTCCCTAATAAATGTCTGTATCTGCTCTTGATAATTCAATATAAACTGTTGGTCACATGACATGAGATAATTTATATTCGACGGACAAATGGGGCACATTACAGTTCTATTTCTCTACAGCCGTTTAATCAAAAACCGACTCATGATGAGAAGGACAATGGATTTAAAGCAAGCTTCAAATAGTAGCGAAATTAATTCAGAATAACTCGAATGATGCAGTCGAATATTTACCGAATTTGTATACAAAAGCCATGTGGAAATAAAAAGCCTCAAATAGTCTCTATCGCCAACGTGGTATTAATATTAATACTTATGAATTCAGGAAACAACATATTTTGAGCTTCAGTAGTGTTAATAATGTCAATTTTGCCAGGCCGACTTTATGTCCATCCATATCAAGATAACAAACAGATTTTGAAACAAGTTTACATAACGATTCATTTGGGGGGAAAAAACTGTCAGGTTTGTATTGCTGATTCATGTCGACTCTTTTTGTAGACTTCGTGAGAATTTTTTTGTAATTTGGCAAGAAAAGAAACGTTACGTTGGTTTTTAACTAAAACAAACATATGTTAATTTCAAATATTTTCAAGATTAAAACTAGTGACCTGAATTATTAATATACCAAATTATTTCACGTGTAAATCATTTTGAATGACGTGACGTCATTTTCTGATTTCAAAGAAATTATATTTTGTTTTCATTTACCTGTGTAAAGATGGAATCTAGTTGTCCTTTTGGTCATTAAATGTGTCGAACAATATTGTTAATAAAATGTCGCTTGGAAAATTGAAAAAAGTTACACGAAAGTCAATGCCCCGTCTATGCAAAAATAAGAGAGAGCAAGCTATTGGGGTGTTGACAGCAGGTTGGACTCATATGCAGGTTGCAAATTATTTTAATGTATCTAGACATCTAGAATGACTATTTGTAGGCTGCAGACTTTAACAAAACGCATTTAAATAGCAGGTCGAACAACGGTTGTTCTTCAAAGTGCTGACTGTAATGGCGACTGCCAAATAAACGGATCACCAGATTTAACAAAATGTATTATTATTAATTTATTACTAAACAGAAAACAATAAACTTGCGGAAAAGATGGTACACCGCAAACATGAGGTGCAAAAATTGGAACACCATATCCAGATTTCGACAATTATAGTCCTTTCGTGATTTTTGGAGTCGAAACGGTATTTTAAAGGCCATATAATGTACCTCAATTAAGGATAGACTCTTGAGTTTTTAACAGTCGAAATAGGATAAACGGATTATATAGACACCTAAAGGTAAATATAATACAAGCCTTAACGAACAAAAAATAAAACAAGTCTAAATTGAAAACCTAGGATCGAATTGCATACAAATTGCAATTTATATACGAGTGCATCCAAAACAAATTTCTTGATAGAGGGGTCTAAATACAGCACACACCACATTTTCCAAATTACCAAACAAGTGAAAAAGTATATTCACTATACAAATATATATATAAGAGGGACGAAAGATACCAGAAGGACAGTCACACTCATAGATCGTAAACGAACTGACAACGCCATGGCCAAAAATAAAAAGACAAACAGACAAATAATAGTATATATGAAATAACATAGAAAACTAAAGATTAAGCAACACGAACCCCACCAAAATTGGGGTGATCTCAGGTGCTCTGGAAGGGTAAGCAGATCCTGCTCCACATCTGGCACCCGTCGTGTTGCTTATGTTATTACAAAGCCAGTAAATAGTCTAACTCGGTAGGTCACATTCGTGAAACGGGAAGGGTATTGTAGTTACGACATAAGGAACATATCCGATATCATCTGTGAAACGGTTATTCCATAACGATCAACTAACTCGTGATGGCGTCCGTAAAATTTACGAAGGGATGATTTCAACTTCACCATTTGGAACTCTTTGTTTAATAGCTTCCTTGTGAACAGCAATCCTCCATCAATGAAATCATGATAGGAAATACAAGACCGGGAATATCGTATCAATTGGAAGATATATACTCCGTATGCAGGCGCTGCTGGAATGTTGCTACATAGAAATGGAAAGCTCACAATTGGGAAGCTGAAATCATCTCTTTTGTCGTAAAGTTTTGTTTTCAACCGACCCTCATTGTCAATTTCTAGATGTAAGTCAAGATATGAGGCAGACTTAACTGTATCTGGAGTATCCTTTATCTCTTGTTCGATGGGATAGATTCGTTCAATAAAGTCACAAAATTTTGTATTTTTTAGTAAGAGAACATCATCTATATAGCGGAACGTATAGTTAAAGGATATTGTAAACTTCTTATCTTTCTTCTTAAGAAGTTCCTGTATGAAGTCAGCCTCATAATAATAAAGAAACAAGTCGGCAAGAAGAGGGGCACAATTGGTTCCCATTGGAATTCCGACGGTCTGTTGAAAAAATACGTCCTCCAAACGTAACAAATATGTTGTCAACCAAGAAATCAAGCATCTTTATAATGTCAGTTTCAGAGAATTTTTTGTTTGAATCAGAGTGATTCTTTACAAAGTAGGATTTATCCCTTCCCAAGACAAGATACTTGTGTCTACGTTGCCCATTCTTTTAAATGAAACAAAGTAATACCAACTCTTTCAATTTGTCTTTTAGTTTGGAATGGGAAATACTTGTGTAAAGTGTAGAAAAGTCAAATGTTTTAATACTATTGCAAGATGAGAGAGTCTTAGATTGTATGTACTCTAAAAGATCTTTGGAATTTTTTAGTATCCACATCTGATTCACGCCACATCTAGAATAGGCAGTTTCACAATAACTTTGGAGCCCGGCTTTGTTTGCTGATAAAATAGATATTAATAATTCAGAAAGAGGTTTCGTGGAGCACTTGGAAGACCCAGCAATATACCGTTGTTTGTAAGGACACTTATGTAGTTTAGGTATCCAATACAGTGATGGAAAATTCAGTTCTTCATCTTTGGTTGAAATTCCAAAGGAACATATACTGCACAAGATGAACAAAACGTAAACTGATGCTTGAGGTAAACATATTTAAAGATCCAAATCTTATTACAAACGTTTACAGTCTTGATAGTTTTGTAAAAAACATCATCGTCAACGTATGCTGTCATGTCCCTTTTGTAATGTGATTCGTACAGATCTAACTACCGTACTTATTTGTCGTTAGATAAAAACCGCAATTTTTATTCGTGTGCATGTAAAATACAACGAAATTTATTTTACATGCACACGAATAGAAATTGCGGTTTTTATCCAACGCAAACATAGGTTTGAATGTTGTTTTCAATTTAGATTTGTTTATATTTTTTCGTTTTGGCCTGTATTATATTTTCCCTGCGGTTTATATAATCCTTTCATCCCATTTCGACTCTTTAAAATTCGGGAGTCTATCCTAAATTGAGGAAAATTATATGGCCTTCTAAATACCGTTTCGATCCCTAGCATCACTGAAGAGACATTAATTGTCGAAATCCGGATATGGTGTACTAATTTTTGCACCTCATGTTTGTGGTTTACCATCTTTGCCGAAAGTTTATTGTTTTCTGTTTGGATATAAATTTATTTTTAAAGATCTATTTTGTTACATCTTGTGATCAATTTATTTGGCAATCGTCAATTGCAGTCAGCAGGGTTTAAGAACATCAGTTGTTCGACCTGTTAGTCAAATGCGTTTTGTTAAAATATACTTTTTCGGTCTTTTGAAAAATGTTGCTTGTGCTGTATTTAGACCCCTCTACCACGAAATTTATTTTACATGCACACGAATAAAAATTGCGATTTTTATCCAACGCAATCATAGGTTTGAATGTTGTTTTCAATTTAGACTTGTTTATATATATATATATATATATATATATATATATATATATATATATATATATATATATATATACCTGTTGACTTTATACATCGAGTACAACCCCGTCAAACAACCTTGCAAATAGACACAAAAGAGAATGGATATTTCATTTTATACAATTTCTTATCATAAGTTTTTTATCCTTTAGGTCTACAAATAAGTAGGACTCGTCAATAAGCGATACTTCACGTGTATCAAGGATTTCCAATATATAACACTTTAGATAGCAGACCAAGCCAATCTTATTCTTTATGTTAACAGAAATCAATGGTTTTTTTTGCAACTTAGATGTACATCTGAAGTAAAGTGACTGATCGTAAATTTCTTGTTTCAATTTGGGTTTGCTTACCTTCAAATTGCGAGCTATCATACCCTTTTTCATTAAACCTTAAGTTAATAATATCATTTGAGAAACTCTTGAGATATATGAAATCAATAAGACTACTAATTTTTGAATTCGTGCATAGATTTTTGTTTCTTATGTCTTCAGGAAAAGGTTGATGATAGTGTACGGAATAAAAATGTAGCAGACGCACATTTTAATTCTGCTACATAGTCTTTTCGTATCATTTTACTAAAGGCAGTTGATAATCCCAAATATTTATATTAAGAATAATAAAATTCAAAACTAAAGTTCAATTAGTTTTATTCGAAGTGGAGGTGTTCATGTTTCTCAATCGCAATGTTTTGTTTAATTTAGTTTGTCTTTTCTTCTTCTTCTTTTTCTGTTTTTTTTTATAATAGTTGTTAAATCAATCCTTGGCGTAATCTCCCCATTTTTGTTTAATTTTTAATTTTTAATTCTTTACGTAAAAAAATGTTCATCAGTATATCCCTTTAAAAAAATGGTATATGTGTAATAAAATCCATCTAGGTTTTATATACACTTTAATGATTATTTATTTATATTGCCAATATGATTATATCATTGTTTGTTTTTATTTATCGGTTGAAAATTTCTCAAATATCGAACGGGTTTGGCACATTTCACCATACGTCAACGTTTAGATGGTTTCATTATGTATATATTTTTGTAATAATTGTATTGCTGATTTTCGTATTCATACATATAATATTATCTAACAATTAGATAGAACAAAATGAAAAAGTGTTTCATTAAGAAACCAAACTGATATTTGCTAAACGTTATATTTATGAAGCATTATTAAACAAAGCCACCAACCAAAAACCAACAACTGAAATAATGAAAAACTAATAGTATCGAGTAAAAAACAATAGATATAAAAGCAATAGTGAATGTGAAACTTAATGTATATATTTAGCTGTTGTAATTATATTAAGAAAAAGTAAAAAAAAAAAGGGATAGATATAATGAACACAATCTACCAGAAGACCAAAATACTAAATTATTTAAGCTTTTTCAAATATGAATAGGATTAAGGGCATAAATTTGCCATTTAATATACATGATATCGAATCACTATCTAAAAAGTACTATATATAGCACAATAAACACTTGTCAAAGTTATTCGTTATCAGTCATGTCATAAGTTGCAAAAGGCATAACTGTACAATTGAAAAATAAATTCAAATAGCGGAAAAATGACGACTTACCCTTATTTCATTGAATTTATAGTGGAGATCCTTTTTCATTACTTCAATGGATGTGAAATTTTCTTTTTTGATCTGAAAATGAAAATGACTTCGTTTACCAACTTTTTTTCAATAAATATAAACGTAGTACATTCATGAATATAATACAATTAAATACAAGATCAAAAGTCGTGTGTTGTGTAAACATTTTTTTTACACATGTTTATCTTAAAAAGGGATTGTTTTATAAGCTGAACAATATATAATATGGACAGACATTTGCAGTGACATTGGTTGAGTTTAAAAAAAAAGCTAAAGTCTACCATTATAAAAAAAAGATAAGACAACAAATATATTTCAATTTCAATTGTGTGTTAAACACTGCAAATACGTTTAATTTCTATTCATATATTTATATATATATATATATATATATATGTGTGTGTGGATATAGATATAAGTTACTTCTTTGTAAAGTACACACACAAAATGACATATATACACATGTTCCAAGTTGATAAGGAAATATCAGATTTTCAAAACAGTTAGCGTAGAGATCTCACTGAACTTCACATAGTTTCATATTACAGTGGTTTGATTAATAAAAAAAATTATATGGAGAAACTTAGTTTCTATAAAGTTGTCTTAATGCAGAAATTGAAAAAGCCTTAACTAGATTTTACCGTTGAAAGTTCTTCGATTTTCTCTTCAGCTGATTTTAATTTGTCGATACTTCGCTCATAATTTGTTCTGGTTACTTTTAGTTCCCTTTCCAATTTTGCGTTTTCACTCCGCATGTCCTGATCTGATTCGAAAATTTTTCTGTTGTTAGCATCCAAAGTATTTGCCCTGTAAACATTCATAGATTATTTTCATCATTTATAAAGCCTAGACTTAAAACTTGTGGCTGTACAATAAGCGAAGCTCGGAATCGTCCTCAGTCTAAATAAATTGTTGACACATAAAAGTATCTCGCCTGTTTATAATTGTAATACTAAAAAAATATAGTTACATTAAAATGGAAATGCATAGAAACTTTGAAAAAACTTTCAAATTCCATAGTTATCCTTTGGTTGAATAGAAAGTGAAATGAATCTCCGAAAATTTAGAATGGTCTTAACACGTCCATATCAAATACACTGTATCAGAGACTTATCATAGCCGGTACATCTTCGACTTATTTGAGCAAAAACAGTAAATATAAGAATATGTAATATCTGCGGCAGTACGTGGTCCATCTTAAATTGACATAGTTACAATCTTTAACATGTTAACTAAGCATAAGTTTCATAGTCAATAGACTATAACTGATGAGGTAGGGCTAATTAGTTTTCATGGCAATATGATGTGTCAATCCTTATATATCTGCCTTTCATATAGGATTGACTACAATTATCGATATCCCTTTAACTCAGCTAATGACAAACTTTGTAATAAATTAAGCATAAGTTTTATTGAAATAAATCAAGATTCAGGAGCTTAGCCAAAAAAAGTTCATGAAAATGAGATATGTCAATTCTAACATAACATCAAACCAATTATCATTGACTAACTTTCAGTAAATCCCTTCAAACTGACCTTATCACAAACTTTATCAACGTGTTGACTCCGTGGACTCTACTTAAAACAGCATACATAAGTCTCGTTTTGACAACTTCGAAAATGTGAATAAATTTTATATTATTATAAAATGTCTGCATTCAAATTTATGTATATAACGAACATACGTCACTGTATTTGTTGTATTGCAGAAATATTGAGTAATTGCCTTAAAAAAATACCGAGTTATTCCAAAAGGTTAAACATGAGATATATGTGGGAACATATTAACGACACAAAACAGAAAACTGTAGATTCATTTATTTTCATGGGTGCCAATTTCATGGATAAAGCAAAACTTGCATATTCCTTGATAATTAATCTCTTGGTTCTGCCAAACTCTGCATACAAGCCTAAAAGCAATTTGTCATTCGTTGGACATTTAATTTCGTGGTTCACATGTACCAACGAAATCCACGAAAATAAGAAACCCACGAATAATAATGAATCAACAGTATTGAACAAAAAGGAAATTAGAAAAATTCATTATAGAGCTCTCACTTAATGTACTCGTTTTAACAGGATAACGGCGAAATATTTAGCAGTCAGCAATAGAAATTTTACAAATGACTTCTCACTTTAAAGATGATTTGCTCTTCTGATCAATTAATAGATAGAACAAAAGGAAGTTGATATGAAATGGAAATCTTGCAATTATTATTCAGGCAATCAAATGTAATAATAACTTTCTGCATTTTGATTAAGCATAAAAGAGATAGTTTAAAGGAATAAGTTGACATTTTTATAAACATCAATTTGTATTAAAGAAATATAGTTTATAATAAAATAAAGAGCTACAATGTATGTGCCTACAAAAGATGCCCTAATACTTGGTATATTTAACAATATGGTATATATCATAGTAATGGTTATTGGTCTGAGCATTACAGTTAATTTTTGCACTTTTCTAAGTTATTTTGTAGCTATGAAAAAGAAAAGGAAAGTCAATAGAAAAAATAATAAGAAATTATATTGGAGCTACATTATCAAGCTCATCATTTCTTATTAATTTCATTTAATCTGTGTATAATTTTTGAAACATCAGCAGTATTAAAAAAACCAACTTCTCAATACTTTCCTGTTGATATCATATATAGAATATTTTGAAAAAAGAAGTTGTGTTGCATAGGGATTCCAGTACAAAGTATAAATGTTTGTTATAAAGTTTTTGGTCCACTGAATCAATTTTATTATCATAAAAACAAAATCAAAAAGGTGAAGTATATAGAGTATTGATGAACTATAAAATCAATATATTTTAATTATTATATTCTAAAAAGACTTGCAACCTAGCCTTCCAATTACGAATTAAAACTTTTCTTAAAGTAGCCATTTTTTTCTATTGTATATAACTAAATCAATTACCATACATTCTGTCATTGATGACTTTTATGTATCATTTTTTTATTTATCAAGTATAGATTTAAGCTATGTTTGTATTATTTACCAGTCAGGGGCATTACTTAAATAAGTAACAATTAAAATTACCTATACAAGTAATGTTGAAAACGAGGCTATTTTAAATATTACTTATATAAGTAACTTTTCTGAATATTATTTTTATAGGTGTCCAATTATACAGATTTTAGTAGCTTTAACAAATTTTCACAGTCATCTGGTTATTTTTCCCATGAAATATAAAATCTAATCCTTCTGAAACACTAATTAACTTTCTGACGCACTTATCTTTCATACTGACGCTTCTGGGTCAAAGATTGGTCTCATGGGACTATTAAATTATCATTTTCCTCCAAAATCTTGAAGGTAGACTGATATAAATAGATAGATACTTGTGAATTAATTAAGACTTGAAGTTATTTATAACTTGTAACCAAAATCAATTACATATGTTCCTTCAATAAGTGTTATTACTATTTTTTTCAAAAATGTATAAAATAACTTATTCAAGTAATATTTTTGTCATTATTTTTAAAGTAACCCTTTATCTCTATACTCCTCTCAAATCTAATAAATTCTTTATTTTATGATATAAAATGATGTAAAAATTCATGAAAACTACATTTGGTCTATGCTTCTATTGAAATTTAAAATAACTCTATTAAGTAATTTTATTATTTTTAAAAACAAAAATTACTTATATAAGTAACTTAAAAAAATAACTTGTTTAAGTAACGCCCCTGACTGTTTAAACATAAAATTTGAGTTTTTTTTTTTTTTTTTGTATTTGAAAAAAATGAATATTGAAAACATTTACTTGTTTGTGTAGACTAGATATTTCTTTCCAAGCATTACACAGTACTATTGAAACATTTCTTAACTTTTTAATAGTTCAGTAAATTTCATGCAAGATGTATTTCAATGGACCAGATGTTTACAAAAGGTGTTATTAGAGCTATCTTTAAAATGCTTTACTTTCCTTTTTATAGAAGTGGTAAATATTGGATTGACATCTTAATGGATGATGATAATTATCATCACATAAAAATGATGAGAAGAGCCTACTTAATGAGGTGCAAATACGATCAGGCTTGTTTGATTTGGTCAACAATTTGTTATACAAGCTAGCCTAAGACATTCATACTACTAATTTTTTTTTTCTGTAGCGATTCAAAATTTAAAAAAAGTTGAATAAACAAATAACAAGCTGGCACTGTAAATTGATGCAGACAAAGTGGAGTAGTCATTATGTTCCTATATTGCTGTCATTTGTCATGATTGTATTAACCAATCAATTTGACATAAAACAAAACAGTACTGATTTATTATGCGGCCATGTAAATTAACATAATAAAATGCAAATATGGTCAGTTTTTGGTAGATGCTGTCATATAATTTTTATTATACGGGTCAGCCTCAGTTATCAAAACTACTGAATTATTAATACGCGTCATTATTTGAATACAAAGAGGACATTTTTGCACCCTAGATTGATGCGGACAAAATGTGTAGTCATTGTGATGTAATATTGCTGTCATCGGTATTATGCAATCAATCCTGACATAAAAAATGATGTATTATGCGGTCATATACATTTACACAATGAAGTGCAAAGGTGGTCATTTCTGGTTGATGCAGCTAAATGATTTCGTTACACTAGCCAGCCTGAGGTATAAAAACTAATTACTTATTGGTACGCTTCAATATTTTTAATTAAAAGAAGACATGCTGGCACTCTTAATCGATGCGGACAAAATTTAAACTCATTGTGATCCAATATTGCTGTCATTGGTATATATGAAATCCATCCTGACATAAACAAATAACTCATTTATTATGCGGCCATAAACAGTTACATAATACACTGCAAATATAGTTAGTTTTGGTTGATGCGGTTAAACAATTTTGTTATACTGTCTAATCTGAGATATAAAAACTGCTGATTGTTGGTGATGATTCAATTATTTGAATAAAAAAGGACATGCTGGCACTGTTAACTGAAGCAGAAAGAGATACAATAGTAATGTAGGCACTCTGAATGATAGCCCACAATACACATGATATATATTTGTAACTGTACATCAATATTGCTTTCAATTATCCTGATTATTTTATACAATTAATGAATTATTTGTTACTAGTATTGTCATTTTTTGTTATGTAATAACCAAGTTTAAATAGCTACATTTTAAAACAAAACAGAACGTAAACATTATATATAGAATACATTTATATACATGTATGACTTACAGAATATATATGTATTGAAGTATATATTTAATGCACGTTAGCAGTGTCATCAATGCTGTTTTAAATTTATAAAAAGGCAAACAAACGGTGAAAATTTGTATAACAAAGCAAAGTTTTATGCGTACTTTATGCACACATGTGTTTAATCTTAATTGTTTATATTAAGATACAAAGACATTTAACAATATTTGATGAATATATGTGGAGTAGTCCTGATTACAAGTTAACTTGGTGTTGAGAAGACCAGCCAAAAATTAACTTTAAATCAGATCTACTTTGATCAGAGTTGTTAACATTAAAGTTAACTTTTTGCAGGACTGGTATCGAAGTTAACTTTTTCTGCAGTCATTAAAATAGTCCTAGGACCAACTCCGCTTTTCAAGTTAGCTTGATTGTGGTCCTAGGACTGGTGAGAGCAGTCCTAAATCCTATCACAGGTTAAATTTGACTAGTCAAAATGTCTGGTTAGCAAGTTAACTTGCTGTACAGGTATGTCTTTACTTTTGGTCGGAATGGAGACGTTATAGACGATGACTGAGACTCGTAAAGGAGAGTCCTACGATTTCTGTACATAAAGCCAACAGTAGTATATCGCTGCTCAAGTTGTATACCAGCCTTTTCATAACTGTTATTTTTGTTTGACAATAATGGAAACAGAAGGGTATAGCCTACCTTTCTTTCCAAAAGGCTATCTCTGCATGAAGCTGTACGGTCATTTCTTCTCTTTTTCCAGCCTGTTCCAATCTTTCGCTTACTTCTTCTTTGTACTCTATTAGCTGTTTTGTAATCTGTGACTTCACTTGTACAACTTGTGATTGAATATTTTCTTGTTTTTTTACACTTTCCGTCAAAATGTAATTCACTGCTCTTTTATTGAGGCCCCGCATCTCTTCTATAAAATAGTTTTCCATGCTCTCTACCTTTTCCTGAGTAGCCATGATCCTTATTTCAACTGTTTATCTCTTATCTACAAGATAAATGGGTGAAATACCAGTACAGCTACATTATTCGTGCATATTTCCTAACTTGTAATCTGAGCACACAATGATACATTAATTTAATATTAAACTACAATCAGATTGAGAGAAAACTTATGTATTATCTTTAGTTGTAAAATGAATAGCAAATATAACTTTTTATCATTTAATTTTTTTTAGTAATAGTAAAAGCTCAATGATAAGTTAATATTGACATTAAAAGATCTCCGAACAAAAAGGGATGTTAAGATTTGAACAGCTCTTTTTTTAGGAGGTCTTTAAATGTCAAATTTAACTTAATCATTGAACTTTTACAGACTTACAAACCGTCAAAACATAATAAAAGTACACTAAAAACACTTGCAGAAGCCTAATTCTCCCGAATTGGTGGAGTATAAATATATTCAAATTATAGTTAAACAGTACTCAGGCTGATATAGACAAATAACAGTTACCTAATTGCATTCAAAACGGACCGATTAAATGTCATTACTCATTTAATTATTTATTTCTTATATTTTTTTAGCATTTAGAAAAAAACCATAGGATAGTTTTATGAAATTTAGGGTTAAATTTATATTTTTGAATTCCAACTTTTCAATATAACGATTTTCTATTTTATAAATGAGGAAATCAAAACCCTATACAGACCTCATTTACAACTGACCAATAAATGTTCTGCACCAAAACTTCTTTTTATATATGTATATGATGTTTTTAATCTGTCAGTAATCATGAAATAGATTCATTAAGACCATACCAAATGAAAACAGTAAGTAAATTCTTTCAACAATAAGCTATTTAAACAGCTTCTGAGTAACGGGCAAACCACTGAATAAACATGTTATGTGAATTGAAAATTATATTATACGAGTTTCTTATACTATGTTCCTAATTTTGTCATCTTTTTTAAAGGGAGGCGGATTTATATAAGTTCTTCTTGTTTCCGAATCCCAGTATTTATATTGTATAATTGTATTTTGTGCACTTTTGAAAATAAAATATTGTTTAAAACTAAACAGCTTGTTTGACAACTTCTCAATCGAACAGACCTAAATGCATAAGGTCCTTCACAATATTAAGGTAAATGTTCATTATGGTTTTGATTCTTTAATTTTCCTACACTACGTTTCATGCAAATGCAAAATAATTAGTGAAGTCTGTTCAGTCCAATTAATTAATAAATCGTTTTTTTAGGTTTGACTTTGCGGTATGGGTTTTGCTCATTGTTGAAGGCCGTACGGTGACCTATAGTTGTTAATTTCTGTGACATTTGGTCTTTTATGGAGTGTTGTCTCGGTAGCAATCATACCTGGCTCGATAAAAACGTGTATAGATGGGATATTTTCGCAAGGTTGGTCGTCATTCTTAAACTGAAATACAATGTATTATATGAAAACAAACACTTTTATTTTAGTCGTCCGTCATTGCCTTTTCACATCTAAATGTAACATAAACAAACAACTTGAAAAAAGCTTTTTACCTTTCTTAGTTTTATAATCGCCTGACAATACCATATATCATTAATCTCAATTAAATCGTAGATAAGAATCATAGCAAAAAAAATTTAAAAAAAATTTAGGTGTTTAGCTATGTAGTAAATTGCAAAACGTTTGAACTATCATTGAGTTATTTAAAATAGAAAATTAACATACTAGCGTTATACAAGATCCTGTTTTCGTGTACTATGTACATCATGTACATTGAAAAATTTATGGAGTTGGTTGATTGTTGTTTGCTTTACCTCCAGCGGCAAATATTTCACGCATGTTCATGACGAGAACATATAAATCTTAGTTACAATAGGTAGATCTTGCAATAGAAGGTAGACATTGAGGTAGGACGTGAAAATTAGAATATCACTGGAATCTGAGGGTATATTGAATAAAAACAGAAAATCAACATCTACACCCCTTAAATAATTGGTGAAAAAAATATTTAATTTTCAGAGGGCGTTGATCCCTGAAATCTTTTCTGAAGTCGGCCATCCATATTTACGTGTAGTTTTCAAAATTATTAACTTTAGAAACTGTGAAATATTTGTGAAACTGTATTTTATTTATCTGTGTACATTAGTTTTTGGTATGATATTCTGTACTATCGCTCTCCTGTTTGTTTCGTGTGTGTTTTCTCTTCGAGATCGCGAGGTCGTTGGTTCGAATCTCGACCGGATCTAACAAAGACGTAAAAATTGGTACATGTGTTTGCTGTTTCAACTCTCAACTAGCGGTATTTAACAGTAAGAGCACAGACTTGTCGGCTCGGAGCCAGAAATATTTCCGGGTAGGTTTCTTGTGAATTTGCGCGTAAAATAATCTGGCCCAGCGTGTCAATCTAGTACAAAGCAGGGTTAATACTCATATTATATTTACATGTAATTGTCCTGAATATTCTTTAATATGCTATTTTACGTCATTCATTATCATCATTTATTTTACCGTTATTCTATACAGTGAAGTGTTGTTCTTTTACTGGTTTATAATAATCCTCTTTAATTTCCACCGATCGCATTTGAAAAAAATGGCAGGCGATGTTTTTCAACCAAACACTTGTGCCTGTTAGGATATCTTAAACAGTAAATCATATTAAATTAATTGTTCCTGTTGTGATAGATATTGTTAAATTAACTCCATAATTTTTAGTCAGGGGACAGTTTTGAGCTTATTCTGTATACGCATCTTTCTGTAACAAAAGACTAAGTTAATATTTTGATTTGTCTGTGTCCTTGGGTAGCTGCTACATTAATGTATACCTTTATCTCACTTTTTTCAAAACCAAAGGCTTGACTTGGGTATAGAATATTGACATCTATGGACCTCTCAAGTCCGACAGTATACCCTTGCTAAAAGGGTGTGTCAGTTCGGCTGTTCGGCTGCTATTATAACAACTATTATACCAGATATAAAAATAACTTGAATCAGCAAATTTTGTCACTTAGACGAGACTGCCGTCGTTGTACGCTTATGCGTTATTGCCACTCAATGCCGATTTTTTTTTCTGTTCTGCTCCCCTCCTCTTAGTATGGTTTTATAGGATATAATATAACCCCTAATGTGGACTACGTTATTTCATGTTCATAAAGATTAAATGTAAAGAAAAAAATAAGAAAAGAAATGCTAAAATTAACGCTTAAAAAATCTAATATATAAATATTGGTAAACTGCCTGAGATAATTATCTACTGACGCCTAATGAGTGTATATCACTTAATGGTGCTAATTAATAAATTGCTCCCTTGATGTCCAGTGGCAAATATGTCATGCATATTTACGACGAGATGTAAAGTGGATCAAACTAAAGAAAATCATAACAATTTCAGAGCATCACTTTAATAAGATGGAGCGTTGACTAGAGGTAAAACGTATGTCGTAATAGAATAAATTTGAACCATGTTGAAAATCGTGTTAAGTTATTAGCCCTCCCCCCATTTTTTTCTCCAAGGTAGAAAAATGCCAAAAACGAAACGACATGAATTTAGAATCAATAACGACCACTGTAAGAAAATGAGATATGGATTTATTTTGAAAATATCTTCCTTTTACAGCATGCATTTCCCGGTTTCGGACATGCTTGTATTTCCACTCAAATACGGTTTGATTATTGACCGGTCCTATTAAATCCACCAAAATCACTTTGATTCTCTGAAATTGTACATACTGGTATTTCATTTTTAACCCGATCCTATGTTGCAACACCCTCACTTTTTTCGAGCGTGTTGCAACCTTTGATACAACAACAGGATTATTTCAACCGCAAATTTACAATGAAATTAAGAATGCAAATCCTACCTTCCGTCTCTATTCCAGAATTTAAATGTACGAACCGAATGTATTCTGATTCCTTTGATACCAATTGATTGTGGGCGTTTATAAAAGATATTGACGTTTCTGATAACACAAATATTGTTAAATGTTATATACTCTTTGATTATACGATACATGTTGTATATAAAATGCACGTTTTATTTTTTTAAAAGCAAATAAATATTATGTTTTCTTTTTTGTTTGCAATTATTCTTGTATTTTTTAGTAGACGCATCACAAAAGATCATTTATGAAAATGGAAATCATCTGTTATAGTCACTTTTTAATTTTATGTGACTATCCTGTAGGTTGAAATTGTATCGTGAAATGTTTTATGTCATTAATAATGTACAAATAGATTTACAGACGCATTCAGACTTCTGTCGAAACTGACATGGCTTCGGCATTTTTTCCATGCAATGATGTTTTATTCTTGAAACTAGGATATTTATTTAACATTTTAAGATTATGTACGAAACTTAGTACGGAGAAATACCCATTGTATGGTTGTAAAAATTCATAAAACATATCAGCATTTCAATTTGTACACGAGACGCTCGTTTCGTTTACAGAAATCTCATCAGTCCCCTCGAACAAATGATTTACAGGTCATATAATAAAATGAAGTTGAAATTGTGTTGAAAAAATGGCTTTACCAATTTATGGCTGTAAGCGATTAGACAAATACATACTTTTAGATACTGAAGCAAACAAACAGTTAACGATATATACCTAATATCCTTTGTTTTTCTATTGAAGTAAAAGAGAATAATACTAATTTCTTATCAAACACTATACTAAACTATTTAAGATACTAAATGTAGATTTAATTAATGCAAATTTGATTTTAATTCACTTTGTTAAACTCTATCTATGGAGTAGAGCCAAGAACCCAATAAACGATCCAGGAGATGTGTTTTGTTTAAACTTTAATGATCAACATAAATATAATATGTATGAATTCCTTAATGTATGATATTTGAAAGTATCATAAGAAAAGGTGTATACCTCCTTAAAATGTATATACTGATATTAGCCTCAAAAAGAAAAAAAAACATTTCATTCATTGCGTAGAAATTTTCAACTTTTTCAACCTTGTTAAATAGTTTTATGTATGGGGCCAAAACTCGCCCATTAACCAGAACGGACTGATCAACAAAACATTCGTGACACGAAAATTGTTATTAC